GTCTAGGATTTGTCGAAAGAATCTGTTTCCCTAGCTCTCCATTCAAGTTGTACTAATAATTCTCTGAGTCTTGGTTTATGTGATTGCAGCAACTTGTCTCAGAGAAAGATTTGATAGTTAGGGAAGAAGCATGCCGCATTGGTCTACTTTTTGGTGGCTTTACCGGCTCGTATCACGCCCTTAGATGCTGTTTAAGGAAGTGGAGAAAGAAGGAGACGCCATTGAATTCGTAAGTTTATGGTTAGCTTTATGTTGGCTATTGTTTCATGTATGTATTGTTGTATCTCTTTTCTTGTATGCTTCTCCTGTTTGCTTGTGCATAGTGCTTGAAAAGTATATTCCTTATTATGACTTTGATTAAGGGTGGAGCAGAGTCTTAGCAGGTTCAGTTGCGGGTTTGTCTGTCCTGGCTTTAGATGATTCCAACCAGCGGCGCACACTTGCTCTATACCTCTTGGCTAGATTAGGCCAGGTACATCTAATGGTCATGAATTGTCTGTCATACAAGTAATATCACCTGACAGATTGGATTTTTGGGAGTCTGATCTTTCTTCTTATTAATAGGCGGCTTATAATTCCGCAAAGTCAAAGAACAAGTTCCATCTCTGGGGAAGCCATTGGAGACATGGAGATTCATTACTTTTTTCTCTTGCATGTGCCCAGGTAATTGAGATTCTTCTCTTTTCTTCCTGTTCTAGTGGTCTGAATACTAGTGGAGGTGTTCATGGAAAGTGGTATCGATGTTGAAGAGATTAATGTGAGATTTTCTTCTCATCTATTGTCTTGTTGGAGTGTGGAAAAGAAAAGATTTTGTGTATCATACTTATTCTCTTCAATCTGATATAGTCGTGAACTTGTCGTGATTATGATCAACAAGCTAATTTTGCTGCGATGAGTCTGTTGCAGGTTATGTATTCCTTTATAATGCGCCCTGAAACCTTGCCAAAATCATATAGAGAATTTATTCAGAAGACTGGTCCAGTTGCAAGGCCTGTCTATCAGGCTGTAAGAGAATGCTGCAGAGGTGGTCCGATCGATGTAGCCTCCTTATCAGCCTATATTTCTAGTAAAAACAAAGCCAGTGACGTGAAGGTGGACGAGTTTGCTTCCATCATTCCTTGTTCAGCTATTCATCCCGACACTAATTCGTGTCTGGCCCAAAATGCTAATGCAATGTCAGCTACATTCAAAAAAACATTTCCATTATACTTCTCCCTGACATTTGTCCCATATGTTGTTCTACACCTACAAAAGGTAATGCTTTTCTTTAAACTCTGTCATTTCGGTCTTTTAGAATCTTATGGTTTATTCTTTAGTCAGGCATAATATATATGTTATGATGCCATCCTGCACTTTCAGTTTGTGGCTTCTCCTTACCGGACATCTTGGCATGCGATCAGAGATTCAGTTCGATCGACTTCCTTCTTGTCTGCTTTTGTTGGGATTTTTCAGGTAGCTGGTTTTTACGTTTGATAGTCTCCCCCTTATTTCGCACAGTTAGTTTCTTAAAACCATTTTTAAAAGTATGTGCCTAAATACATCTTTCCTTTTGCACTAGGCTTTCATATGTACCCATAGAAAAATTGCATCCAAAGACCACAAGCTCGTTTATTGGTTTGCGGGTGGTGCAGCAGCCCTGTCGGTTATGCTGGAGAAAAAACCGAGACGCTCTGAGCTTGCTCTATATGTTCTTCCCCGAGCAGGAGATTCTCTGTGGGAGATACTTATCAACCGCCACCTTCTTCCTGATATTAAAAACGCTGAGGTACAATTCAACCACAATTGCTTTTTATGCAACTTTCTGCCCCTTGTAACAATAGAACTGAATTTTGTTTTAATCCAAATTTCAATCGATGAATCAGGTGGCTTTATTCTGTGGATGTATGGGAGGAATTATGTACTACCTAGAATATGAACCCGATACAATGGCTCCATTTCTGAGGGGACTCATCCGTAGGTTTCTTGCTAGTCAGATAAGTAATCCTAGCAGCAAAATCCGTCAAAGTTCTTCCTATGTATATCTCCAGAGTCTAGATGCGTTGGAGAAGCCGAAAACGCAGGAGAGTCGGGAAAGCGAAACTCCAAAACCTGAAGAAAAGTATAACCTGGAGTCAATTCCTGGTCTTTAGAAGCAAATGTCTCGGACACTTTCAACAGCTGGTACTAGCAACATGGATAATGGTTTTGATATGAGGTTAATGTGAAATTCCTGGAAGAAATAGGTTCCTACACATAGAAAACTTGAGAGATTGAAGTAATTTTTTGGCGTCTTTGTTTTCTCTAACTCTCTTCCCATAATAACAAAAACTGTCTCTTCTTAATTTCAATGAGAAGTTGCAGAGTGGTGAAGTATGGAGTCGTACAGCCCACAGGCTTGGCCATTTGGACTAAACCCTTTTTTTGTCTTGATTTGTTCTCAACGACTCAGTGTTGAAAAAGATATGTAAATAGCCCCTATTCGAGGATAATAATAACCCAAGTATTTTGGATGTTCACGTTGGTTTGGTTATATTGAATATATATAATTTCCTTTTGGGATAGGAGATAACTTTCGTTAGAATCTGTTGCAATCATGAGTTACCTTATGAAGCTCATTACGAGGAACTAAATTCGAATTCCCTTTCGTCCGCAAATCAAATACTTGTATAGTACCTAGAATACAAATGACTCTGTTTCTAATATCTCCGTCGGATTCTTGCTAGTCAATAGTCACAACACACGGTTTTGTAAGTTCCTTTTATACTTGTTCTGACAAACTAACTTTCACCAAAACACAGTTTTATAAGTTCCATAATGCGAATCCTAATGTGAAACAGATTGGAGATAAGGCAATTGTCTAACCTCTGACTTGGTCATTTGATTCTCATGCGGTCATACCCCCAAATATTATATCACTCAAAATGTTGTGATTTTGCGTCTATTGGTCGCAGTGGATTTGGATTTGCACAGGGTCAGAAGTGCCTGGATTTAAATAACTATAAATTCAAGAGATATAATACAAAGCCATGACACCTGTAAGCATTTGGTTTCATCTAAGGAATTTTATCGTATGCACCAAGTCAAATGTCAAAAGGGATGAATTTCTTTGAAATAGAATAATTTCAATTCATCATAGTATATTCAAATCTATCTCTCTCTCTCAGTGTATCATCACCAAAATGAACGCTTTTGAGACTCATTTACCAAAGGAGATCGTGCCTGATTCTCTCCCTAGCTCTTTTAATCCCAGGCGTGAAGAGTATGCCATCGCCGGGAAGATTCTCCGGCAGCGATCAGACTTTGATAAAGACGGTTTTAGCCCTCTTCATGCGGCAGCGGCAGCCGGTCAGGTAGAGACTGTGAGGGCAATTTTGGGAATTGATACAAAGCTTTGCCGCCTAAAAGGTAGAGATGGAAATACTCCTCTTCTTGTCGCAGCGATGAGAGGGAAAACCGATGTGATCAGAGAGATTATATCGAGCTGTGTTGGTTGCTTACAAGACGAGACGGTTCAAAGTCAAACTGCTTTGCATCTTGCTGTTCTGCACCGAGAGATCGGAGCAGCCATAGCTATTGTTGAGTTGATCACAGAGACTAATAGAACTGACGTGTTGAGCAAGAAAGATGAACAGGGTAATACAGCTCTTCATCTTGCAACCTGGATTAAAAATCGCCAGGTAAAAAGAATTATGTTGAGAGGTTAAGATAGTTAGTTGTCTTAAGAGTATAATCAAAACCTGTTTTTTTGTTTTTCTCCTCCTTACAGGTGATTGAAGTGTTGGTTCAGGCAATCCCAGAGGACTCAAGAGCATTTGAGGTGAATGCTATGAACAAGATGGGTCTGTCCGCACTGGATTTGCTAGTTATGTTTCCAAGTGAAGCTGGCGATAGAGAAATCTATGAGAAACTCGTGGAAGCTGGAGCTCAAAGAGGGAGAGACGCCGGTACAACCAATGTTGAGAGAACCACTTCTACTTCCACATGCCAAGAGGGAGCAGTGGGGTCACAAAGCCACAAAGATCTTGTCAAGTACTTCACTTTCAAAAAGTACAGAGACTCACCATCAGAGGCGCGTAGCGCTCTACTGGTGGTGGCTTCCCTAGTCGCCACAGCCACCTTTCAAGCTAGCCTGACTCCACCAGGTGGAACCTGGCAAGATAGCTACATACCTGCTGTTTCCCAGAACAAAACGAGTGTGAATACTACAGATCAACTAGCTCATATAGCAGGGCAGTCTATCATGGGAACCTTTAATGGAGTTGCTTTCACTTTGTTTGTGTTCTTTAACACAATTGGGTTTTCCGTTTCACTTTCTATGCTCAACATTCTCACCCTCGGATTCCCACTGCGGTTCCAGCTTCAGGTCTGTATGATGGCTATGTACTTCTCGCACAACACGGCCATGACCAGCATTGCTCCCGATCATGTCAAGCTTTACTGCATTCTCATCACGTCCATTCTCGCTGCTACCACCCCGGGTTTTATGAGGTTGCTTGAGACGCCTATTAGCATGGTCGGGCAATTCTGGAACTCCATGTTAAAGAAAATCTGTTCATTTATTTCAGTACATAATATTTCATGGAGAGGTTCTGCAATATAAAAGCTAGATCAACATCTATTTTTTTCCAATCACAAAGACAGTTCTTGTGTTGTCCAGAAACCAGCATTATTTTTATGAATGATGATATGATTTACGAAGACATACAATGTAAATTATTCATCTGGGAGGTTACATATTTTGTGTGTTTTGTTTCCTATCTTACATATAATCCCACCAAACTTAGAGGTGAAGATACGATTCTGCACGCAGTCACCAGCTCTAAGCTTCCTCAGTTCCCTGTCAACAGCTCCCTTTAGCGAAGTTCTAATATCACCCAACGCCCAGACCAAGGATATATGCGGCCGCGGATCCTAAAGGAAAAGTTGAAGCAGAGACGATGGGTTAAGTGTGGGTGACGATGATTTCATTAGCTAAATAGTAAATACCATCAAGCTTACTAGCTGTAAAGTACTATATAGAAAAGCAAGTGGACCTTGTAGAACTCTGGCAAATTGTGAAGCTTGTAAACTTCATTAACAGCATCAATTTGCTTACTTATCTGAATTAAAAGTATGAGAATCAGTAAAATACCTAACACAAGGTACTGAGTATACAAAAAGCTTATATTCGAGGTAACTCTTGTTGTAAGCATACCTCGGAGAGTCCTGAAGTGGTGATTTCTAAAGAAAGGAAAGAGCGAGTACAGTCGTCATTCACAAAGCCTTCCCACTTATTAAAATCGATCCAATATCTGTCGAAAACAGAACAGAATTCACAAAGCCCATCGTATACAAAATGGATTGGCTCATATGAGTGGTAGTAGACAACAAATGATCTTACCTCTTCTGAAACTGTAGTTTTTGCCGAAGCAAAGAAACCACTGAGTTAATCTGATGAACACGTAGAGGCACGCTTCTTCCCAAGCTTATGTGGAACTCCCTCCCCAAGGCATGCTCAAGCTTCTGTTCATCCTTGCATAGAATGCTGAGTGGAACATCAGCCTCCACCAAATGAAGATGAGGAACAACCGATGCAACCCTCTTCAAGAAATAGACAATCTCCTTCTTTGGCAATAGAGGTATAGAAACTAAAATCCAAAAAGAGAAGGTATCTGAGTGAGGAACAAGTGATGCATTTCGTCAAAATACATTCTCGAACGCCTACTGATCCTCTTTAGCAAGACCACTTATAGAATTTCGATGCAATGACGGAAACTAAAAGACCTTGTTCCTAAGAAGCCAATCCTGTAAACTTAAGCTGAGCAAAAGACCATAGGGTCCAAAAACATCCATTAGGTACTTCCAACAGCTTGATTTACGCCTTTTACACAAAACAAACCACTCACTCCAGAATTCAAGAACCTCCAACTAACAGGATTTCAAAATAAGTGTAAAATGGAGGATGCGAAAAGCGATTACCAGGGATGTAAACGTGCAAGGCGTAATTTCCATCGACATGAGGAAAGTTCCTTACTCGAACCCCAGGCTCTGTTGAGTAGAAATCAACCGAACCTTCAAGTTCATAGAAAAAACAAAAAACGTGATGAGAGTAATCTTTATGGATCAGATTGAAGAACAATGAGCGTAACAATCACCTGTGGATCCAATGGAATCAAGAAGGTCAAGTGGCGGAGGAGGTAGAGAAATCGATTCCCTCCCAGCGATTGATTTCTCGCCGGAATTTGCAGAAGCGGAAACCGCCGGAGAAAGATCGTCGGTATCGGAGTCCGATGAAGAGTCACCGTAAGAAGCTCTCAATGCTTCCATAGCCCGTAAAACTTGAAAAAGAAAAATCAGAATGGAAGAAATATTTCGATT